TAACAAATGTACAGTACTTAGGAGGGAGGATGAAAATGCAACTTAAATTATCTGCATGTTTTATGGTAACAAATGTATGAGGCAAGTGTTGTGTTTATTCAGGCTGCTTTGGCTACTGTTGTACAAGGCATTGTTCTGTTTCCTTGGTATGACAAGGAAAATGATAAGAGACATAATAATGAAATTTCTCCAAACTCCAAATGAAGTGACACTTGAGTAGCTGATAAAGTTCTGTTTTGTACACTTTGCTCCCTTTAAGCTTGAAGAAAAAGCTGCGCTGTGTCAAAACATCTGTCCGTAAATTCCTCCTGTGTGGGTCACAACACGCACGCTGGCCAAGGCAGCACCTCCGGGCACGGTTCTGCCAAAGGAGGAGCAGATCATCTGCACTCTCGAAGACAGCCCCAGACACTGGTGGGCAAAAGCCTCCTGACCTTTCTGGGGTCTGTGGGAACAGTGCATCACGCATCCTCCCAGCTTACCAAGATGGGTCTCCGAGTCAGGGAGAACATTCCAGCATTGATACAGGACGTGTCAGACTAAGCACAACAGGGACCCCTAAGCGGCTGCTGCTGGAAGGAAGCCCTGGCCCTGTGTGGAAAGAAGCTGCTGAGAACACAGATATTGATTCTATTTTTGCAGCAATAGGTGTCTGATCCTGGACTTGAAGGAGGAAAGGGGTCAAAGTCATTCTAGTTTTTTTGGGGTTTGTTTGCTTTCTTTTTTTTTTTTTTTTGTTTTTTTTTTTTTTAAGAAAACCCCTCTGAACCCTAATGGTGTCTCAGTAATTCTCATGATGAATTCTGTTAAGAAAATAACAACCATTTTATTATGTTTTTGTAAACCAGCTTTTTTTTAATGGCTGATTTTTACATTGTTAAGGGTGTTTCAAATAACTGAATAGTCGCCATCCTTTTACCTACCTTTGTTCAAGAACAGTGACTTTGTTACCCTTACTCAGTCTCCCCTCTCTATTGCCTGACCACATGTTAAATGCTGCTGTCAAATCCACAGTGCAAACAGTTCCCATCCATGGCAGAAAGGCTGCAGCTGATCACTCACTGCTGCTTTGGACAAAAGACTTGCCAACACCTTTCCAAGCCTTACACCCTTCCTTCTGTGCTGCTTGTGGAGGGGACAGCCTTGATGTGCAGTATTATTGCTGTTTCAGCATTTGTTACGCTTGTTCTGAAATGAGGAGTTAACTGAACCTGCCTTCCCGTAGCTGTTCCAGAAGTAGGGAAAAACACAGGTGTGGCCTGTATTACCCGCCTTGCATGAACTGATCAATGTACATTTAGTTAAGAAACGTGGGCACAAACTTATGTTTTATTCAAGAAGCATATACAGAGCAAAGAGCACAACTTTGATAGTAGTTTGGGCTTGAAGTCTTCATACAGATAACCAAGATCCATTTTCAGGGCTTCCTGTCACAGGAATACCCAGTGACAACTAAAACAATTTCAGAGAATCAAGAATCATCAGCCCGTGAGCCATCTGATGCAACACAGGCCTACTTGAAACAGACTCCTGTCACTGCAGGATTTTTTAGAGCTCTTTTTCTCATTTCATCAAATGGTATAAAAATACCTAAGTATACCACATACAATCAAGTTTTAGCTGCTTGAATATTTCTCAGAAAAGGCTGGGAGTGAGGGCAGACATCCCAGCAGTGGCCTCCAACCCTTCCAAACAACACATACTTCCTTCTTACGGGGCAGCAGGTGCCCAAATAATGCCCCAGTGCAGCTTGTGCACAGAATCAAGACCCATAGTTTGCTTCATCAAAGGCCTTTCTGGCTCGTTTCAGTTCTTCATTCATGGTTAGGAGGTCTTTAACTCTGGCAAACTTCCGGGGGTCCTTGCGTATTAGAAAGACAATGTCCTCAACCTGCACCCGACCCTGCCGCCCGATGGACATGGCTTTGTGTGTCTGTTAGAGGGGGGAAAAAAAGTCAGCAGCATCCCTTTGCCATGGTGCTTTTTTTAAGGTCTCAATTCCACTGTAGTTCCTGTCATTTTGTAATAAAAAGTAAGCAATTGCTGTTTCTGGGCACCATCATCCTAGTCACAAGAGAACTTCCCAGTAAGCCATTGACTTACTCTGCTGTCACTTACACCCTGAACATAACCACTACATATACATCACATAATGGTATCAGAACGAAGGCCAGATTACACATAGCACACCCAGGCTGCAGAATGGCTGAAGATTAGGCACAATTTGGAAGCAGTGTGAGGTAACTGAATCAGAGGACAGTGTAGGGCATTTTGATAAGGATAGGAAAGACCAGCATTTCAAAAGAAAGGAGAATGTTTGGATACTTAGAAATGGTGTCCAGGTCTGAAAGAGAAATGGCCTCAGGCCCAAGAATGCATTCCTTTTTTAGGGCAGAGCTAAGCTCCCATCCATGTACAGATACTGGGCAAACACAAAAAGTTGAGACTTTCAAATCTGAGCCACATTTTCTGTCAGCTGCACATACCACAGTGATGCCACGGTGAACCCCAAAGTCAGGTGGGTATTTCCCCTCCTGCAATACTGATCTAACTGCTCCTTAAAGACTTCAGTGTTCTAAATCCACATGGAGCAAGGTGCATAAATTTTGCTTTAATCTTGAGAAAACAAAATCCAAGTTTATGTTTCTCCTACTAATGCCATGATTTTGGGGCCTGGGATAATGCAGTATTTGAGTCAGAGATAATAACCTTCAAAAAGCTGAAGTTCTGGTGAGGATGTTTGACCATGCCATCTAGAGCTGACTTACCATTTCAGTGATAAACTCTATTACCAGGTCCTCAAGAATGTCCACTGATTCTGTGTAAGGGTTCTGGTCGTCTCCGAATCCATACATCATGCACCTTACTGCACAAAGAAACACTCAGCATGAGGCTTTCATCCATTCAGTGCTGCACACACCTAGTGAGAGCTCACCAGCCTGCACGTTCCAGCACCAGGATGGCACTCTCATCTGTCAGGCAAGACAAATCTTGAGGAAACATACAAGAAATAAACAGAAGCCAACAAAAGCCCTCCTGTAGGGACAGGAGCTGTACATACAGAAGAGCATGTCTGAGGACAGGCTCTCTCTGAATATTCATTCAGGCTGCAAAGCACTGCATAGTGACAGCGCAGCTGACTTTGGGCACAGCTAGGTCCAGAGAATGCACTAGCAGTATTTTTGAGGGGGGTCTACATGGCAGATTTCTGCAATTGCTGCCAAGGCACATTGTGAAAGCCGCTGTTTTGCTAAGGAGAAGTGAGTTTTGGGACCCCATAGCTGCCAGCTCGGGGTTTCAGCTGAGTGGCCCGGTCGCGCTGGGCAGGGCTCTGTGGCCCGGCCCGACTTACGCTCTTTGGAGAACAGCCGCTTCCTCCTGCCCTGCCCGCCGTCCAGGCCCCCGCCGGCGTCCTCCGCGTCCTCTTCGAACTACACGGGCACAGCGGAGGGGAGGCCACGGTCAGCGCCCGTCTGGCCCCAGCCCCTTCCCGCCGCTCCCCCGTCCGTGGCTGGGCTGTGCATTCCCGGGAAGGGCAGCCCCTCCGCACTCACCGGCACGTCCTCCTCCTCATCCGCCATGGCTGCCCGGCGGCCCGGAACAGCTTGGGCGGCCCGGCCCCGCCCCGCGGCCCCGCCGGGGCGGGACGGGCGGCGCCGCCGGGCCTGCCTGTGCGGAGGGTACCGCCGTGGTATTGCGGCGTAGGTGTCGTGAGCCTCGCCAAACCTGGATGTGACATTCATTGTTGGATTGACAGATCGGGATAGCGTGGTTTGAAAGTGAGCTCGGGAGGTGTCTGTTAACCCCCCCTGCTCGAAAGAGGGTCAGCCACGAGGTCAGAAAGCGTGGCTTTTCACAGTCGGTTTGTTCGGTTGGCAGGGGCTTTTCCTTCCCTTCAGCGAGGCACACTTGCCCATGTACACAGAATCATAGAATGTAAAAGCGTTGGAATAAATGCCCTTAGCGATCATCTAACCCCAACTCCCCTGCCGTGCACACGGACCCCTCCCACGAGACCAGGTTGCCCAAGGTAAGTCCCCTCTTTCAGTTTGTACCCATTCCCCCTTGTCCTGTCACTACAGTTTCTGATGGGCCCTGTCTGGCTTCTCTTTAGGCTTCCTTCCCACACGGGAAGGTTGCTGTGAGGTTTCCACCTTCTGGACAGCACCTGACTCTCTCAGCTTGTCTCTGTAGGGGAGGTGCTCCTATAGTATTTCATAGAGTTGCTGTCAGCCCCTTTGCTCCAGCCCTGCCCTTGAGCATGTCCACTGTTCCCCCCCCCGTTTGGTGCCCTAGGCACATTTGATAGCAACGCACCTCCTCCAGATTACTCATAAAGATGTTAAACCGGACACATTCCAGAATGCATCCTTGCTGTGTTCATTTGTAACTGCCATGCAACTAGAGCATGACCCACTGGCTTCTCTGCTCTGAGCTCAATTGTTTAACCAGTTTTTACTGACCTACTAGTGCACCTGTCCAGGCTGAAATGTTCTAATTTGGGACACTTGCAAAAATACTGCCTTTGCAGTGTCAGGGTTATGGTGACAGACCAGACCAGACACAAGACAGAGTAGAGGAAGAAAGTGGAGAACATACTGCTGAAAGACCAGGGAAGATGCACAATGTGAAATCCTTTTCCGTGGAAGCTAATACTCAACATCATTTCTGTAAATAACAGCTGTTGAACAGGCAAAGCTTTACCACTTAAGTGAAGCTTATGCACTGCAAACAACTAAAGACATTTGAATTTAAACAGAAATGAGCTCTACTGTATCAGTATGCTGCCAGGCCCACCCACCACTCATCAATGAAGGGGAAAGGGAGATCATTTGTGTCCCCAGCCTGAGAAAGTGCAGCTCCTCACTCTACAATTCAACTGGTTCCTTAAGAACCTGGCAAAAAAAAAGTCCAGTAGTGTGTCAAGACACCTGCTTTCCCAAAGCCTGTTTCCACAAAGGCAATTAAATCCAAATTTTACTGTTTAGTAAACAGGACTGTTTAGAGAGGACTTGATTTTATTTACTGTTTTGTCACAGGGGCATTGTCACACTCAAGAATCAAACCATAGTATTCTCTCCTGCAAATGACTGAGCAAAATGCAGGAGTTACTCCAGTATCCAAAGCACTTGTGAATAAAACCAAGATGTGTCCAGAGGTAAAACTGGTTTTTCTGGAGAAGATGGTACCTAATGTTCTATGCACACACATCCAATTTGTTTGTACAAATGGATTAACTGCACATATTTAATGTATCTACATGGTTAGTAAATTACTTCCTAGCACTGTAAGGAGTTGTAATGAAATGTAAGGGGTTTTGTTCTGAGGAGGGACTAAAACCAGAACCAGTACTTTTTAATATATTCAGGGTTATTTTCAGAGGCTCTTGTGTCAAGGCTGAGGCCTTGAAAATTACAGCCTTGACAAGATTGATGTTTTTGGAAGATCCTGGTTTCAAGATAGTACAAAAAGGCCCTTCCTGAAGTGTTCACTTTCACCTGTTCCATCTGTATAGCTCATACTGCATTTCTGGCATCATGCATCCCTTGGGCTGGTTTGCCCTGCAGCATTTTGGGATTAAGAGACAAAATATTAACAGAATTACAGGCTTGATCACTAAGGTGCAGAAGCTGGAAAGCCACATTTACCACATTCCTCACATGCTCGTCTTACATGTATGCTGAAAAGAGCATACATGTCTAGTGTGGTACAAGAAATTGCATAGTGAAAGAAAATTGTATTTCTAGTCCTGTCAGAGTGGTTTAGAAAAGAACTTTCCTTTCTGGAGGTTTAAACACTTGATGAAAGTAACTGACAACTGCATAACCACATCTGGCCATGTTAAGACATGGCAAAGATTGAGTGCCAGGATTTGACACAGGCACTTCATAGCTTTAGACTAAGTTCTCCTGTATGAGGTCTGCTATTGATGGCTGTCCTTTTGTCCAGTTGTGCCTTGTAACTGGACAGTTTCAAGTGCTCTTAGACAGACACAGCTGCTGTGGGAAGCAGTTCCCCTAAAGCGTACAGGACACATCAGTGTTGTGCTTCAGCTGCCAGGGTAGAGCCGATACAGATCACGGATGGTGTGCCTCAGATCTGGCAATTCATCCACGTGGAGCTGCAGAAATTCATGCTGGATCTCAAAACAGAAGGTAGATGCAGCACTGACTCATGACAGTGTGCAGGACAGGGCTCCTCTAGATGTCAGTCTTTTATTCCACTCTGTTTCAAGCCAACACTCCTGGAAAAGCAGATCCCATAAAAGATGTGTTCTTTCCTTCATCCCTGTGGAACAGGGACAACTCAATGTCTGCAAGCAAGGCACGCTATCCTGCTACACCTACTGAACACAGGACACAGAAAAGAGTTACAAAAGTAAAATATATAAGACATCAAACACACCTTCACAGATAACAGGTTGGCTATTTCCAGTCTGCATGGCCTTAGAGAAGGTAGGTTGCACAGGAGGTAGTTTTTGGCCCCTGCTATCCTAACCCTAACCCCAGATGAGAGAAGTAAATCTCCATGTATCATACAGTTCAACTGGGCAATAGAGTTTACTTAATGTTAGGACTGTAGTTTTTCTTTCCTAGATTAAATGCCTCTTTAGTAATGATATTACTAGACTGTCTCTAATTCCTAAATATAGCAGAGGTTAGGCATGGAGTAGTAGATTTTTGAACATTTCAGTGTAGGGAGAGGAAATGCTGTACTAAAACTTCCCTTCTTTATGGAGGCTACCTACTTTTTTTCTCCTTATCACAATCATGTAGGTTTTATGGAACAGTTTTATAATAACCTGGATTAACTCACACTGCAAACTTCCTGAACTGATGAACGAAATAAAGAAAAAAATTAGCTTTATAAATACTAATTTATTCAAAAATACCATATAGTAACTTAGGTTATTTGCAACAAAAACCCCAGACGTCTGGTTTTGGTACCTTTTGTTCCTGATGAGCCAAGCAGATTGACAGGTCTTTTCAGCTGGCCTCTGCAGTGGGCAGGTTTCCAGTAACATGGGCTATGAAACACCTGAGCAAGTGAACCCCCGAGAACTCCACAGAACTGTGGAAACAGAGGCATAGATGTTCAGTGCCACATATTGATGTGTCTTGGAGTAATAAAGGCAAAGAGCCACTGGCTGTGCTCAGTTACATGTCTCAGAGTACACACTGGGAAAAGCCTGCACTCTGGCTATGTAATCCAACAATTGCAGCTCTTACTGTTACCAGGACTCCAAATAAAATGGGAAAGCCTGCTACCATGCAGCACAGGAATTGCTGCCTTGCTTTGAGAAAGGCCAGAGGAAGAAGCACACTTGGAAACAAACTTCAGTCACTTGCAGAGAAGGGGGAAAGAATGGAAAGGACATTTCCCCATCAGCAGCCCACCCTCTATCCTTGGGGCACAGAGAGGTGCTGCCTCTGGAGCAGACAGACTTGTGTTAGGTATCTTGCCCTACTGAGCTCATCACCAGAAAGGCAACACCAGCAGTGGAGAGGAGCTTTACCTGACCAGGAACAGCTGAGGAAAGCATCCCTGAGTGCTCTCCTTTACAAACTCCTGGATCTCCAGTACATTCTTTAACAATAATCCCCTGGAAGCTCGGTCAATTTTTGTTAACACCATCTGCATGGATCCAGAGAGGGAGGATTCAGAGAAGAAAGTAAGATTATTTTGCTGTTAAGCTGGAACATCTGTAAGAGTCCTAGACCATCTTACAAAGCAGTCTGAAAGCTCTGGTCGTATCTATGGGAAAAAATAGTCTAACGCAGTTCACCAAAACTATGGCCTGCATAAGGAGTGTGCCTTTTCAAGCTGCTCAAGCTGAGCACTGAAAAAAAAAAATCTATTTAATAAACCACAAAAAAACCCCTCTTAAATCCCATTTGTCTCCCTCAACACATTATAAACCTATTTTATTAACAATAAAGGGTTACTGCTTCGGTAGGTCAACTTGCATAAGCTCAGATGGAGGTACACACCTTTCTAGATTACCTGTACCTTATAACTGACCCAAGAATGAAGCTCTCCTTACCACATAAGGAATCCCAAACTCTTCCAGCATCTCTACTGCAATATGATCTGTTTTCTGGAGTCCAACTACACCATCAACTAATAGAAAAGTCCTCTTCAAGCTGCCGGAAATACAAGCAACAGTAATTGTCACCATTATTACCTGCTCTGCTACTTCCGAATTCATAAGCAAAAACAAGTAACATGGGATCTGGGGATAGCAAGAGCCAAGAAAAGCCATGCATGGAAACTGAGGGTCAGCATGGAGCAGCACTTCAATCTTTCCTGCTGTTTTAACCTGTCAGAGCATGAATGAGTGACATTGCAGAAGCTTCCAGGGAAATGATGTCAGAACTAATGGATTGAAGCAGTTACCCCTCTGCATTTTCTCCCCTCATAACATGATGCTGTATAGGGGTGGCTTTCCATGTGCTGAGGTACAGGTAAGTCCCTTACTTGCGCCGTTCCTGCAGATAGGCCTCCACCATCTCAACAAAGTCCTGCGGGGCACGATAGCCGTATCCTGGCATATCCACCAGAGTAAAGTACTTCCCTACTTTGAAGAAATTCATTTTTTTGGTGTGGCCCTGAAGAGAGGATTGAGGCAAGATGAAGCACAGGGGTGGTTTCTAAAAAAGCTGCTTTAAGCAGTGAACTAGGATGTGCTCTGCAAAATATCTCTATACCAGACCCCTGCCCCCCCAGTACGCTTTAAACTGCCCAGTCTCCTACCTGTGTAGCAATGCTACATGGCTCTAATCATAAAATGGACTAAAAATACCTTAATGGGTCTCTAAGCTTGGTTCTTCTCAAAGGCCTTTAGAGCAGACCAGCTCAGGTTGTGCAGCTCCTTCATCTGCCTGAAGAACTAGGCTGGGCTCCTTCTGCCTCTTGCTGGGCTAGAGCAAGGCCAGTGCCAGCCACGAGGATGGCTACCAGAGCTGGCACTTTCTGTCATTTCAGGCTACTCAAGAGCTTGTTCCCGCCCACCCTTCTCAGCCCTATCCTCTGGACTGGTACCAGCTTATGACCCAAAGGGAAGGAAGTTAAAAACGTCACTCACTGGAGTTTTTGACACTCTAACTTCCACTTCCGGAGCCAGTGAAAACAAGGCCCGGATTAAAGACGATTTCCCCACATTGCTTCGGCCGATGAAGCACACCTGCAGGGGAAGAGACAGAGAAGGCACATCTACACCTGCCCACCTCTCGCTGCAGCCAGTCCTGGTCACTTCTCAGCCAGGAGCATGTCAGGCTGCCGAGCTGCACAACGGCTAACAACAACAACAACAACAAATAAAGGGTGTGTTAAAAAGCAGCAAGTGCCCCACATATTGCGCAGCGCTCTGACAGAGCTGCACCACCACTCCACCACTCCTTTACTGGCGCAGCTGAGCCCAGTCCGGGGTGGCCCGGGAAGGGGGAAGGCGCTGCCCCGGCACGGTCCCGGCCGAGGAGCGCGGGGGCAGCGCTCGCCTGACCTCGGGCAGGGCCGGCGGCGGGGCATGGTCCATGCGCACGGCGGAGCTCACGTAGTCGATGGGGTGGCCGCGGTCGGACCTGAAGAGCGCCTCGGCGCGCTGCAGGGCGGCCAGCCCGGGCTGGAAGAGGCGGAACGGCGCCGTGTCCGTGCCGGGCGCCAGGTACCGCTCCAGCTTCTGCAGCGGGAACACGATCGCGGTGCGGCGGCTCCGCTCCAGCCGCAGCACGTGGGACAGGGCGGCCAGCGGCAGCGAGGCCCGGCCCGCAGCACCACCCGGCCGCAGCAGCAGCATCGCAGCGGCGGCGGGCAGGAGCCGGCCGGCCCCGGAAGGCGGCGGGCGGAACAGCGGGGCGGGACAGCGGGGCGGTGCCGCGGCTGCCCGCATCCAGCCGGGGGCTGTCAGGGCTCTGTACGGCGTGTGCGCTCGCTGCCCGCATCCGCTCCCGAGAGCCGCAGGTGCTGCGCAGGCCCGGCTGTTTGTAGAATCACAGAATATGCTGAGTTGGAAGGGACACACAAGGATCGTCATGCTGGGCCTGCACAGCACCATCTCCAAATCACACCGTGTGCCTGAGAGTGTTGTCCAAACGCTTCCTGAACTCTGTTAGGCTTGGTGCTGTGACCACTTCCCTGGGGAGTTTGTTCCAGGGCCCAGCCACCCTCTGGATGAAGAACCTGTTCCTAATATCCACCCTAAACCTGCCCAGACACGACTTCAGGCCATTCCCTCGGGTCGTATCACAGGTCACCATAGAGAAGAGATCAGTGCCTCTGCCTCATGTTCTTGAGGAAGTTCTGTACTGTGATATCTCCCTCAGTCCTCTCCAGGCTGAACAGCCCAAGTGACTCCTCCTATGGCATCCCCTCAAGGCCCTTCTCCATCCTCATTACCCTGCTTTGGACACTCTCTAACAGCTTTATTACCCTTCTTATGCTGTGACCAGAACTATACACAATATTCCAGGTGAGGCCGCCCCAGCTCAGAGCAGAGCAGGACAGTTCCCTCCCCTGCCTGGCTGTGATGCTGGGCCTGATGCCCCCAGGACAGGGCTGGCCCTCCTGGCTCCAGGGCACTGCTGGCTCAGATTCAACTTTCCATCCACCAAGACCCCCAGGTCCCTTTCCATGATGCTGCTTTCCAATGTCTCATTCCCCAGTCTTTCTGTACACCCATCCAAGGTACAGAATCTGGCACTTTCTTTTATAGAACTTGATACAGTTGGCGATTGCCCAGTCCTTTAATTTATCGAGGTCTCTGCAGGGCATCTGCCTTTGAGGGAGTCAACAGCTCCTCCCAGTTTTGTATCATCTTTTCAGCTCCATGTCTTCGTATGTCTGTTCTCAGGCCAAGCCCAGCCACACTGTCAAGCTGCTGAGGGCTCTGTGTGCTGATGCCCTGTTTGGCCAAGGAGTAGGCCAAAGCAGCCCTGTCCTATAGCACTATCCACCTCCTGGCTGCAGCCACCACTTTTCCAAGTGCTGTTCTGATGAGTAAAAAAATTACATTTTTTTCAGGGAAAAAAACCCCCAACACATTTTCTCAAGGAGTGTTATGGTGTGTTGTCATGGTGTGCATCAGTTTCCCTGGTTCCTCCCTGAAGTTTCCTTCCCCAGGTGGGTTGTCAATCACCTTTCCTTTCCCCCACCTTGACCCCTGCTGGGCACTATCAACCCAGAAATTCCAGGGTAGCACTGAGTGATTGGCAGGTTCAAAGGATGCTCTCCACCCCCTGGGGGGGCATTGGCCCATCCAGGTGTCCCTCTCACCTGAGGCCCTCTCCCCCCGCCCCGTACCTGGTGGTCCCTGTGTTCCCTCCACTCCCCTTCTCCCCCGGGTTAAAAGAGCAGGCACACCACGCGCAGTGAGTTCTCATGGAGCTGTTACTGGATTCAGGGGCTGTGCAGCCCAGAATAAAATCTCTGGATTAGCCCTCTGTGAGGACCAACTCCTTCTTCACCGTCACCTTAAAAGGTTTCTCCAGCACGGGGAGGCCTGAGGAGTGACCCTCTTTTATCAACAAGCCCCAGCACATAAGCACTGGAGCTTGGGACATGCCTGGAGTTGTCCCCACGTGCTCATAGCTAGACAGAGGGTCTCTGGGGTGCAAAACTACAGGTGCTGCTATTTGGCTCAGCAGCTGGGACCAGGCACGCCAAGGCAGTCCCATTCAGTAATATTGATAAAATCCAATATTGGAGAACTATGTAGAGGTCAGTGTTATTTTGAATAAAATAAACCCAAAGCAACCATAAAACTGTTGTCCCCTGTGTTCACACTATAGTAAGAAGAAGCCCTGAAGTTTTACTACTTAATTGATATGTATCAGAGTGCTGTTTTCCTATCAAAAAATACACATAAAGCTTTTTACATTGTTCTCCTTCATGACTACAGTTCATAGGGCTGTAAAACCACAGAAATGAATGTATGTCCTTGACACATTTCAGCTTCAAAGTACTGTAATTTTAACACCATCAAATGAAAGTAAACTTCATCAGTATCTTCACAAAAGTAACACATGAAAATATCCTGATGTTCAAACTTACACCCAGGCCAGCCTGGACATTCTGTGGAGCACTGCCTTTCCTTTGAGACAGAGACTCCTTTTTCTTCTGTAGTCACAGCCCTCTGTTTAAAGGCCTGTAAGTCTGGATGGTTTCATTATTACAATGAATAGATTCAGGGCCAGGAAGGACTGTTAGAAGATAACAGAGGCTATATCCTACTTTCTTTGTATTGAGCTCTGTTACAAAGCTATAGGGAGAGAACTTTGATCCCTTAAGAAAAGGGCAGCCAACAACATACATGTTTCTCAGAGATAGCTTTGAATATTTTCTAATAAGACAAACTTCTACTGAAATCCATAAGCTGCTTCTCAAATTTATGATCAATGAAAGTGCTTAACAGTGAGAGGTTAATAGGGTAAACCTAGGGAAAAACCCCTGTATTCTACCTCAGTCCTGTACATTAAGTCCTCTTAAAACCTGCTTGGTTTCACAGCAAGACAGAGCTCAAATGTGCATAGCTCAGGACAGACAGCAGTCACTGGCTGCTACATGCATACTTAGAAGAATGCTCCCAAATAAATCTACAGATGACTTTTATTTATATGGGACAGGCCTCTCTCCTGTCACTGCCTATGGCACAAATACTTATAAATGCAGGGGAAAAAAAAAAAGGCTAATCTTTCAAGAATTACTTCAGGAACACTGCTAATCCTTTTTTTGGGGGGTACTAAAGCAGCAGCTTAATTGAATTGAAATCTGTGGTGAATCTATTAACAGAAAAAAATCACTGGCAGGAGAGAGACATGTTCATAACCAAACGAGCAGGTAGATTTCCTCATTTCTGTGCCAAATTGTGACACATGAAGCAGAACAAGTGCTTTCAGCTACTTTTGCCTCAGAGTCCCACACAGTTCACAGCTGCAGGCAGCAGACTTGCCTGCTTCACAGCACCTGCAATAGTTACTCCTGCCAGGCACATGTTCTGCAGCACATTACACCCAGAACAGCTGGCCAGATGCAGAAGGGAAGGCAGCAGAGAAACTGATCGGCCCATTTAACGCCACATCTGCAGGCGTGATGATGAGAACAGAGGTGCCCAGTACACTAGCCAGGGTCCCAGCCACTAATTAAGTCTCTTTCTAATGTGACTACATAGGTAGCAGAACAAATTAAGGTGATATAGGACCTTTTGAATACTTCTAATTTTAGCAGAGAGCATGCAGTAAAACCACATCTAAGACCTGGAGACTGGAACTGTACATTTCAGTAGAAGGTGTTGGTTTTTTTCTTGGGCCAAACTGCAGTCTAGGTTCTCTGGGGCAGACCGTATGGAGATGGAAGATGGCAGGTTACTGTGGACAGAGCTGGTAAATGACCAACATTTAAGCCTGCTTTGTATCTCCCCTGAAAGACTCTGCTTTTTATAGTGCATGTTATTGCCAAACATCAGGCGTTCACACTGACATTGCCTATGGCTCATGTCTGTGGCAGCAGATGTCTCTTTTCAGTTGCTGGCTATGTAGTTCAAGTGTTAGGGAATTGCTACAAAAGTAATTTAGTCCACATTAAAAACTCTGACAATCATTCCTCTGGAGTTTGAAAGAGGGATCTATAACCATTGACACTGACCTAAATTGCAAACAATAGTCAAGATCACGGAGCTGGAAGGAAGTGGCAACCCTAGTTGTCTTGTCTGGTCTGATCTTGTCTATCCCAGCATTGTGAGACATGTCAAACCATCATTCCTTTCAGATATCTGTTGGAGAAGAGTAGCTGTGAGACCAACTGGAGATGGAGTTCTGGGAGAGCAGTGAGGTGCATTTGGGGCAGTTGGTTTAGGTCCTGTGAACCAAAACCAGCTGAGTTCTTGAGTTTCATTTCCCTCAAGAGAAAGGTGGACCAAATATTGTCACCAGGAAGCATGCTGGAAAGGACAGGGTGAACACACCAGCTTGCCTGCTTTCTTTTGTGATATTAACAGCACTACTGACTGAGTCTGTGCTTGCCCTTAAAGTACATCTTATCTTCTTTTCACTTGAAAGGTGGTTTAGGAACTAGAGTTACTAGGATATGGAGTTTTAAAGGCCAAATTATTTGTATAAAGTGCTAAGAAGCTCTGCATTTTCCTCTATGCAAACTATGCGATTGGGTGCAGGGTGAAGTGTCTAGTCTTAGTTTTAAAGGTTCTATAGTAAAGTAATGAAAGAGAGCCATTATTATTCATGTGGCAGCTAACACTGCTAGCCACAGCTGAGGAGTCGTTTCCACTGGTTTTACAGAACTGAAATTCTCTTTTCAATATCTGTGTTAAATTTTTTGGTGTTTTTTCTCCCAGACCCAAACTTACAACATCAGTACTAGGAAAAACCCAATGAACGTCTCTGAAAGTTAAATGTTTTGGGGTTTTTGACTGTCAAGTGAAAAGAAAAAGAACTTTTCAGAATTAAAGTTTCAGTAAGACTTAGAAGAGCAAATTGCAAAAGTATGGGATCTGAGAATACAGCTATAATCCTTTCCCTTCTTGATCTACATTAATTATGCAGATTCCTGGTTGTTTTTCTAGTTTGCTTTTGTCAGCAGAGGTGGAACAGGTCACAAAGTGATCTTGAGAATCTTGAGGATCTCTGCATCTAACAGGAAACAGGAACGGGTTTTCTCTTCAGTGAAATGCCCTGGACTCCTCAAATATTTAATCTGTCACCTCTATAATCAAGGAAATTCGTTACTAGAAGCTTTGGAGCATCAGGGCAGAAATTGTCACCTGTGCTTGACTCCATTAAAAGGGCAGCTTGTGTCCTGAACAAAAGTGGGGTGGATGTTTTCACACTTTCATTCTACTGTACTGGGCAGTGATGTTGAGGGTAAAGGCAGCCTGAGAGATATGCTCCTCACATACAGCTTTCAGACTGTCACTAAAACCATTTTCCACCAGTGACACAGAGAGCTGAGACATCAGTAGTTTACTGTCCCAAAGATTTTGGAGTATCTCTGTGTCTCCTTTCTCCTTATTTCCCATAACTCTTCTCCCTTCTGCTGTTCCCTGTTTCCACTGTCTAGTTAGAAATGACAGGCGTAAAGCAATTTCCCATGTACACACAGAGGATATGAATGGCTGTGAAAAGGCTCAGCTGGATGGGGGAGAGTTGGGCAAAAGGGAAAAAGAGAGCAGCTCTTTGTCTCGTGTGTTTTGGGCCCACGTTGCTGAATGGGATGGGATGGGATGGGATGGGATGGGATGGGATGGGATGGGATGGGATGGGATGGGATGACAGCCCCAGCCTTGTTCTTCTCTTTTCACTGGGTTCAGTTCAGGTTCATTTTGGGTGGAGAACAAGAACAGCCCAGGCCAGCTGTGCCAAACTAACTGCATGCATGTCCCCTTGCTGGTGCTTTGCAGCCCCCCCGAGGCTGAGCCTGGCCTGTGATGAGCAGGGCAGCCCCGTGTGCGAGGCAGCGGCGGGGAAGCCGCCGGCCCAGCTCTCGTGGGTCCCAGAGGGCAGCTTCACCGCAGAGGAGAAGTGCCACGACAACGGGACAGTGACTGTTCTCAGCAAGTTCACAGCGTGTAGCACCAGTGTCACCAATGTGACCACCTGCATGGTGTCCCACCCAGCTGGGAACTGGAGCCAGACCATAGCCTGCTGTCCCTCAGGTGAGCTTCCCTTTGTGCATTCGGTGTTCAGAGCCCTGCGCAGCAGCCCTCTGTTCATGCTGCAAGCAAACACAAGTGGCACTGGCAGGATTGCAGCAGGAAATGTGGCAGCTGAGTTTCCAGTAAGAAATTTGCTTGGAGTGGGAAGGATAAACACAAATGCTGTCAGAACTGTAAAACCCTTTGTGAAGTTGTAGGAAAAGAGATGGATGCAGTGCATTTGCCATCCACCTCCAGGGATGAATGGAAAGGTGGGACTAATTCAGAATTTCATGACACACAAATGTGTCAATGGTACGATCACCCAGATCTGTGTATTGTAAACCAGTGGTGCCATTACATGTTGCTAATTGTTTGGTTCCACATGGGTTGTGACAGGAAGACTGAAAGCCAGCTTACAGCTCCCAAGGCTGGCTGGTAGGTGGAGGCTTTAGAGAGTGAAGTTGAAGATGTGGTTGGGAAGTTGTTGCGGCCATAGGTAATTGACTGAAACACAGAGCTGGAAGAGAATGAGAGCTGAGATTTGCTGGGATGCACATGTAAGGCCTGCAGCAGTGCTGTGGGCAGGAGTGGCCATACAGTGAAAGACAAACTTCCTCCATCAAGGATTTGGAGGGATGTTGTTTCTTCCCAGTTGTGTGTCTGGCACTGTATTCTAGCTGCCTTAGGTCATCCTCTGAAGTACAGCGCATAGACAGCATTGTCCAGGAGATGCCATTCTGACAGAGGCACAAGGGAAACAGGGTCTGTGAGATGTACCTAAAGAGCATCTGTTTCTCCGTAAGAAGAGTGGATGCCTTCTTCCCTGTGTCATCAGCCTTATCGGCCTTATGAGTCTCCTCTTCTTGCTGGCTGCTTTTGAGCTCTACATCTTCTTTAATAGGTATGTATGGGACACAATACACATAAACCCTCTGGCCAGTCCAGAGGAGCTTAGAAGGACTTCTGGTAGTAATTCATGGCATGCGTGGTCACCTCAGTCTGTCCCAAAGCCATCAGTCCTGCACATGTTCATGGAGGTTTGTCCAAGGACTGGAACAGCTCAGTTGGGGCAGACAGGGAGGGAGGGCAGTCCACACCTGGCTCTTCCTGCTCCCATAAATCATTCAGAAGAAAAAATACAGAGGGAATGGTTAGGGGTTTTCCACCTGATGGAGGGATTTGAATAAAGATTGCCAGGCTATGAAGATTAAAGAAAGTGCAAAATACCCATCTGAGCTCAGAGACAGACTTTTGGCCTCTTTTGTGCTAGGTAAAGAAAGCCAGGGAAGGCAGGGTCAGTATAGAAAGGCAGGAAGTATTGCATGAGAGCTGAACAGGTCTGCTGCTGTTGTAATTGCTGGAAATTTCTGGCAGCTTGGCTGATTAGTCTGCCTAAGCTGGCCTCTGGCAGAAGGTGTAGTTGCTGCCCTGAATTCCTCTGCAAACACCACAGAGGCAGAACTAACTACTGTCTTTAAATCTCACTTTAGCTCCACTGTGTGCCAGGGCTCTTGGCAGCTCTCGTTTGGGTGCTGGCCGGAGCATGGCCAACTCTGGTCATGCTCATGTGAGACCATAGACATGAAGTCTTATGGTATTGGGTTTCTCTAACAAATAAAAGGGAGGAATTCTGTTTTTACACTCCTAGAAACCAAAACTGTATTCCCACAACAGCCTTGTCCTCACAGTGTTGGTGCCTTGTTTCTTAGGACAATGTCAAAGTGGTGCAAACCGAGGCAGCTTCCACCTGCAGAGGTGTCTGGGCTTGAGCAAAGATGAAAGAAAGTCCTGTTATATGTCAGTGATGTGGCCTGCAGCAAGAACTCAGCAGTACCACAGCTCTCAGAAGAAGGAAGCAAACATCTACAGTGCAGCCAGTGAAATTGTGCAGATGCACAGCATGCAAGCTGGATCCTCCCCAGCCCGGTCAGCTCTGTCTTCCATCCTCTCTCTAGTACAACTCCAGGTGCTGTTACCACACATGCAAGTATCAGTCTTTCTGTATAAGGTCAAATCTAATATATATGCAATTGGAAATTAACTCATTTTGTATTAAATTAGGTCATTCCATTTCAGGTACCTTGCATCCTAGTATTTAAGTAGCGTGTCTTCCAGAAAAAAAAAAAAAAATCAAGAAAAAATGTTTGTGTGTAGTAATTGAGCAGCAGCTTTCCCAGGATTTCCACACAGGACTGAAGATAAATTTGGGCAACTCTCATTTTTGCAATAAAAATTTTGAAGTGTTTCACCACCAGCTACAAAAACAAAAAGGAGAGAATCTTTTTGAGCTTGAGCAGTTATTTCTTTGCTACATGAAGCACAGAAATTATTCCAATCCTGAAATCTAAGGCTCATTGTAATTTATCCCTTTGCATAATCCGGAGAGCTGTAGCTCACAGAACACAGGTCTTGAACGTTAATTTATTTAAACACATCGACTGCTCCTGTCACAAGAGAACCCTTGAGTTCAATTGTTCATCTGATTACATACTGCCATTGCTAAGCCTCTAAACCATGGAAGAATACTTGTCTAAGGCTGAGTTAGTTTGCATGACAAGTGCAAGGAGGAGGAGGGCAGAGACCAGAGAAGTCTTAGCTGGAACACAACCTAGATCTTTGTTGTTCCTTCACTGCTTCTACCCAGGCCGGACCGCATCTCTCAAGCTTTGTGAGCCTCATTTCACTTCTGAATCAGCTACTGAAGGAGTCAGGGCCAAACCCCTCACTGGTGATCAAAAAATCCTGCTTTTAGCCTCATCACAGTAACCTATGCAGCAGTTATCCAGCTTTATACCTCAGAGGAAATACTGTGTCACTGCACTCCCTCTCCTGTGCAGCTTTTCTACCACTGCCCTGTTGCCTCTCACCCTCTCCTGGTGCAGCCAACACACTGCTGTAAATCCCTGCCTGAGGAGGTTTCTGCAGGACATCAGCAGGATGCAGACAATGATTCTGCTGGCTCAGCACCATGAAACTCCTCCTTTACATTTAGAGACCCAGCTCCGTTCTGTCCATCTGTTAACACATGGAGCTGTTTGGTCACAGTAGAGTCTGCATTCTGCAGAGCTGACACACAATGTGAATGCACACAGAGATAAGAGTTAGAAGAATAAACAATTCAGAATCTAAAAAAAAAAAAAAAAAGTAGTGCTGATTCTGTATGGTAACCTAATTACCTGGAGGCCAGCAAGCAGAAAACCACAGGGACTTTATCTGGTACTTGTAGCTGTCCTGGTGTCTGAGTTTCCACAGTTCTCATCAGCTGCCTGCCTGCAGTTCGTGCTCAGCTCCATCTCCTCTCTGCAGCAGCTGAGCAGCTCTGAGCACCTGCCTCTGCAAACCTTGGTGCTCAGAGCTTTCTGCTCGCAGGCTCGCTCTGGGGTTGGACCGTCCGCAAAGCCGCAGCTCTGCTTGGCTCTCACGGGGTTACAGACAAAGGGACCACACAGAGGATCATCTCCCTTCCCTCTCTTTACAGGCTCCAGGGCAGGTCACAGTTTCAGAGATACCAACAAAGACGTGACCTAGGTCAGCCACAGCCACCAGTGTCTGTGGTATTCAGGACGCGTTCTTTGTGAGCTCCACTTGCTGTTTCTTTAGCTTTCTCCAGACGGGCCAGGTCTCCAGCCTGAAGGAAAAATACTCACAGCTTTTGTTACAGTTTCCATTCAAATAGGTCAGGATCTCTCTTTCCTCCATGAGGGTAAAAGAGATCAGATTGATATACCAGAGTCCACAGGGTTCTGTAACCACCCTTACCCCTACTCCTTGTTCTTTTTACTCTCAAAGCCATCCCAAATCCTTCTGCAGGAGGGAGCATACAACAGTCTGAGCATTCTGGAGTCAGAATTTCAGCACAGGCTCCTGGGCAACTCCCAGAGCAGACAAGAGGATCTCTCCTTCCTCTCACTGAACACTGCCCTTCTTGCTAGTGTGTTCAGTACATGATGATGACAACTTTGGTTGGAATGTGCTGGATTGAGTTTATAGCCATTACTGCTGTTCAGCTGTTAATCACCATACTGCACACCCTGGGAGACATTTGGCATTATGGCATTTATCTTCCCAAGCTACTGTTATGCCTGATGGATCCCTGCGTTCCTGGGGATGGCTCAACAGCTGCCTGTTGATAGAAGGCAGTGAATGAATTCCTTGTTTTGCTTTTCTACACATGCAATGTTGTTTTACTATTAAACTGTCTTCTTCTCAACCCACAGATTTTCTCATTTTTACCCTTCCAATTCTCTGCTCAATACCTGGGGAAGTAGTTAATGAGCAAGTAGCTGTCAGGGGGCTTAGTTGCTGGCCAGGGTTAAATTACAACAGCAGAAAAAGAAAAAAAAAATCCAGAAAAAGAAAAAAAAAATTCATGCCGTTTTTGGTGGTACTTGTCTTTTTTTGTTGTTGTTGTTGGTTTTTTTTCACATATACCAGTATTAAACTATTGTCTTCCTCAAAAAAAGCCAAAACGAAATAAAACACAAAAACAAACCCAAACCAAAAAACTATTCAAAACCCCCTAATACCAACGAAAGGAAATAGGTTCTAACAAATTTAGGGTTGTTGGCGGGAGTGATGCCCCTTGCTATTTCATCCATGGCCCAGAGGATTGACCTGTTTGGGAGCAAGGATCTGTCAGAGCTGGAGGTCAGGGCAGTGCCCACCAATTGCTTCTTTGCATTGTGGTCCCCATTGCTGTTGGACACTTGCATCAGAACCAGGCTGCTGATCAGCAGCTCAATGGAAAAATAAAAGAAGAATATTCACTGCAGGAGCTACAGTATAATGATATTGGACTATGTTCTCCAAGAATTGGAAGTCTTCCAGAAGGACAGGGCCAGTCAGGGGGTTGACTGCAGACTTCCATGTTACAAGATCACACTGCAAATTCACAGCAAAGAAAGTATCACAATGACCTTTCTTCATCTGCTCTTGGAAGAAATGGGGAAAAAAGAATGAATGTCATAGGGGTTTGTTTTTGGAGTGAAAAGTGGCAGGGAGCAGCTTAGGAAAATGTT